AGTTTTGATAGCTATGCAAATTACAGCGGTAATGAACTATTTACGAGTTTACGATCTAGGTTACAGTCGTAGAGTTATGAAGACAGAAATTGTCATCACAATACTACGCTGAAATTTATGTGGTTATAAATTATATTACACTATATTTTAACAAGGTATGGTTTAATTTATCTTGTTGATCAGACCCTGATCCACCGCGAGGCCTGGTCATGGACCAGGCCAGGGGGCATTGACCCCCAGAAACACCCTCCAGGTATACTCCAGGTTTAATTATTTTAATCAAAAGTAAGAGGTAAACCCACCAGGGTCATATAGCATTGCACTCCAGGTTAAAATAAAAGGTAATATAAGGCAAGTGCTTATGTGCTATTTACAATGGTAATATATTGATCACTGTCCTCCATCTAGGTGATGAAAATATTTGAGCAACATTTCTAAATTTCTAAGTTAAATCTTCAATACATCGAACTTTTCTCAACTACATGTATCTACTTAGTGTGTTAATGTTCGAATGTAAGCACTCATGCCAACACCTCAATTGTGTCTTAACTGCTAGTGCTTAGACCATCCAATGAAGTATTCAACTCGCTCATGGTATGTCTTATCTGTGGTATAATCATTAGTAACTGATACCGACAAATTAGTTTAAAAAGACATGGAGCAAACACTAGGACATATTTATTGGAAAACGTTTCAGTCCTGGGGCCTTGACCACTTCTAACACACACAGATTAAAATGACAGTATATATAGGCAGAAAGTGGGGTATAAGTCACACATGGTGACCTGAAAAATGCCACACTGGGATTGTCTACCTGTCCTCATCCCAGTATGGTATTTTTCAGGTCACTATAATAAAACTGAATATTATAGGAATGCAATTAGAAGCCTGAGTAGATCTCACCCACTATTATGACATGAACAGAGATTAGTATGTTTATGGAGCAACTTGCAGTGTGAACTGACTGATGTTGTAGTGGCCAGGCTTAGGCTTGGCTACAAGTACTTCTGGCAGTTTGACAGACACACACATGATGATCAAGCCAGATGCAAAGTATGTGACCAGCTCTATGGTTACTATCTTCAACACTATGTGCTTAATTGTCCACTTATTGAGGAATATAGATAAACAGTATAATAACCTATGTGACATGTTAAGACATCTTATTAATGAAAATTAGGTACCAGATATATTAAGCAAATATCCTAAATTTGCTTGTAAAAGATAATTAAACTGCAGAATATATCTAGATGTATTCCTGTTACCCCTTTTGAGGCCTAGTTCCTAGGTCTTTTGTGAATCCATATTCTCTTGTGCTACAATGCAGAGGATGGATGTGGGCTGCACAATAAACTAGCCACTTCAGTGGCAAATTCTAAAAAAAAAATAATCATATGCCACACCTCACTCTCTGCCTATATGTGTACTGTCAAGATCCCAGGGCAGAGACGTTTTCTCATAAGTATGGCCCAGTGTCTGCTCATAGCCAAGTACTAAACCCATAAGGGTTTAGCACTTGGCTGTGAGCAGACACTGGGACATATTGATGTAATGTGTTACCTCCTCCTAAACAGGTTTCGTAGTAAAAATTTAATGTGATTATATTTCTGTAGAACATATACTAAAGACTAGTGAGTCATATTCAACATTATTCTACATTCATTCATGTCAAGGACTTAAGGACGAAGTGAAGCAAAAACAAAAAATTCCCTCTTAATAATTGATTACACATGAACATCTGATTCTACGTAGTAATACATGAGCAAGTTCCTTTAGTGTTTTTATTATAATTATTTGTAGATGAATGGTTCAGAGAACCGACATGTTGATAAATTAGACACATGTGCAACTCTTGGGTATCTTTATTGAGGAAACGTTTCGCCACACAGTGGCTTCATCAGTCCATACATAGGAGAAACTTGAAGAACAGGAGGAGAATGAGGTCATCAGTCCTTCAAGTTTCTCCTACGTATGGACTGATGAAGCCACTGTGTGGCGAAACGTTCCTTCAATAAAGATACCCAAGAGTTGCACATGTGTCTAATTTATCAACATGTCGGTTCTCTGAACCATTCATCTACAAACCTGTCAGACACTGCATCTTCTTGGGATCTTAATACTTAGGAATTCTTCGCTTGCCTAATTCTTGGGCACGACCTACTTCCACATTGAACAAATGTGACACCACCTATGACTGCTACACCTCTCCTGTTATACGGTTGATAAGCTGCTTCTCCGCTCACATGCCGTATTCTATTCAAGATTGATGGACTGAACACATCGACTCAAGGTTGAGGGACTGATTACCTCATTCTCCTCCTGTTCTTCAAGTTTCTCCTACGTATGGACTGATGAAGCCACTGTGTGGCGAAACGTTTCCTCAATAAAGATACCCAAGAGTTGCACATGTGTCTAATTTATCATTATAATTATTATTAAAATCATAACTAAGAGCTAAACCCACAAGGGTCATACAGCTTTAATGTTTCAATGCATTATAAATGTTCCCCAGAACAATAAAATAAATTAGATTAGTCACTGACATTTATCATAACAATTAATTATACTGGCCATTAATAACCACCTTAAATAGATACGTGTAAATAAGATATAACTGACACAAGTTGGTTTTATTGGGGGGACTGTGGAGAGACAGACCATATAACCACCCAATTAGTCATACAAAATATTTTAGACCATGAAGCCACCTGTCTCACAAATGTAAGTTGTGTGTGTAGGCAGAATTGATGTACATCTATGTACAGTACTTTATGAGAAATCCTCGAGTGTACGAGACTGGTGGCAGCTGGCTGCTTTTATTATTACAATCAGAATTAAATGCTAAACCCACAAGGGTCATACAGCACTGCAGGGCAGGATGTCCTAAGGATGAAATATGTGAAGACCAAAGACCAGGGAGGGTTAGGAGTATGCAAGAGTCTGAGTCTGTAAGGGTAGCAAGAAGTGCTAAAGGGGAAATCACGGGTTGGTTACACATCATAATCTCCCTCTCCTTCAAATAAAAAAATTTCATTTTCACAAACAAGAACAAGGCATGAAATATCTTTGTGCAATTAAAACAATGAGGATCAGTGCTCTAGGGAAAATAATTGATTTTTTATCACACCATACAAGGCATCCATGAGATGTGTACTTCACTGGATGGCCTATGTACTAGCAATTATGCCATTGTTTAGATGTTGAAATTAGTGTTCACAGTTAAACAATAACCCATTAAATAGATAGTCGAGTCCAGTTCAAGGTACTGAAGATTTAAAATGGAATGTTGTTCAGATATTTTCAGCAGCTGCATGAGGGACAAACAAGTATGTATTGTAGAGACAGGTACATTTTTGAGCTCCTTTTGGTAACAGATTCCACCTACATACACTGTAGTTGCCTGCTGTTCAACAGCTGCACAAGGAAGAATTATAGATAAATTGGCAGACAAACTGAAATTACTGGGGATGTTTTCTGGGTGCAGCTTTGGTAGTGTGACAGCTTGGGAAAGAAAGCTCTACACAATTACTATTGTTAAATAGGGAAGCATTAAACCCATAGGGGTCATAGAGCAATCAATTGCCAAGAGGGTAGGATAGGTCCAGTTCTTCAAAGTGCCCTTTACCAACATCAGGACACCTTCCTTGAAGGATATAACCTCACTGCCACACATGAATAAAGTTTAGTCCAACTGAAATCAGGCATGTTTAGCCAAGTTTGTGATCCAATAATCTAGCTGCAAACGTGTGAAAGACTTGGGTCCAGCAAGGCCCTTGTTTGACAAGAATGTGAATTTTTTTTTCAACATGCTGACCATCTCCCACTGTGGCAGGTGGCCCAAATAAACACTTTCACTGTCATTCACACATGATCACTCTCTCTGCAGAGGTACACAAACATAACAGATCAGATGTCACTCCAAGCAGCAAATATTCCAAGTTTTTCAAGTGCAGGCTTTGTACCTCCCATTCAGGATATGGATGAAAAAAAAGTCAGGGACATTGATTGTTGAAGGAGTTTTGAATGCTATGTTAACAGTACAGGAAATGTTTAACTTGAGTTTGGAAGAGCAGTTGCAAACCATAAACTTTTTTTTGTAACCAGTCTTGGTGTAACTCCATGGAATTTCAAGACTAGAAGAGTTTGGCCCTACGGGTAGTTGCAAGGATAGAACTACTCTCAAGACCAGCTACAGGTATGCATCCCTATCATAGAACTTGTCAATTTGGCTGAAACTAAAAAATTGCATTAAGAATACATTTATTCTAGTTTCATTGAAATTAGCTTGTGTAGGTTTTCACGGATTAGGGGTATATAGCAAACTAAGAAACTGTAGCTAAATGAATGTTTCTTTAACCTATATCTCCATGTTAATTTTAAGAAAACTGAGTGAAAGATATATAGTATATGAAACAACTTTCACATACTACTGGATTCCCCTTAAAATTATACTGTAAAATTAAAAATGTATCGAAGAACATCTAGATTTTATAAATTGTAATTGTTCAATCAAATCTTCTGCATTAATGGGTGCCACAATTATAGTACAGCATAGCACCTAAAGAAGGGGTAGAAATCAGGTTCAATCATAAGACGTGAAGGAAGTCTAATTTCTTCGCTCAAGTGCTCCTCATCAGCATCAAGAAACATCCCTTGAGGGGTGAAATACAGTAAAATATTTCATTGAAAAAAGTTTTTCAAATGCATAGGTTAAGCATACACACAATTTTTAGAATCTTGGTCTAGTACAACCACTGACCATTTGCTGTCAAGTCTTGTCGACCTTATTCTCTATGGCGAGACTGGTAATCTACTTTCAAGGAATTAATTTTGTCAGTAGGACATACTTGTGTGCTTTGACAAAAATTACTCAGAGTACAGTAGGGCCCCACTGATATGGCAGGTTAGGTTCCAGGCTACCGCCGGAAAGCAGAACACCATTATTTCAAATATGATGAAAGATGAAGTCTCCAAACTAAAAAGGGAAGTCAAACTAAATATTTACTATAAAGACCTTTATTATAACTGCTATATTTCTGCTTGGCTCAATCAATGAAGGTAACAAGTTCTTACATCAGTGCTTCTTCTTTCTTTAATTAACAATCAACAAAGTCTTAGACTATAGTAATCATTCAATCAGTAGGTATTATCCAACAAAATGATTGCAACCAATCTTGATTATAATAATTATTAAATTAATGGGTATTAGTAACCAGTTTTTAAGATGGAACAAGCTACCAAAATATTTTAAAACATTTTAGCACATACATTACAATCATAAAATGTACATCATCCCTACAAATTCAGGGTGGGAATGGAGGTATGTTAAGCTCCTTGTTCCTAGAGATCTCACGAATACATATTCACATCGGAATAAATTTTGTTTTAGATCTGGATTGATTTTGTTTTAGATATCAGTGTAATAAATCATTATTTTGGCTAATACTGACATTCATCAGAAAGAATGACCGAATGAGATATTTGGTCATGGGAATGTCATTGAGCACAATTTGAATGAAAGCCTGTTAGCTTTCAATTTAGGGGTTGTGAACCAAATCTGATAATCAAGACGTACCTCTAGGAACACCAGATTATAATCTGATCTGTTTGCATGTTACCCATCATTAAAAATGTTGGATAATGAAAAAACCTCAAAATAAGAAACTCAGCAAATATTTAAGAGCAACTGTATTGTATATATTCCTGTATAGTCATGTCTAATAGTTACAATTATTTAATCCACATTGATTTTCCTAAAAGGAAATGCCCTTCACAAATGTTTTACATCTACATTTAAAATTCTTTACATCACCCTTATAATCCAATTTAATACCCAGACACTATTCTTGAACTACCCCAACCTGAGCTGAACGAATACATCGGGAATGAAGCGACCATCCACTTCGAATGATGTGTGCCACAGTACCTGGTTCTTTATCAGGCAGTGAAAGTTCAAACATAGCCTCCTGTACAGAGGGATCAAATTTATCTCCAATTTGTGGTGTAATCTGCATCAAACCATGCCGTCGAAAAACCTGGAAATACAGAGATGTAAAATCATATTAGGACTGGGAATATCTATAAATGTTATTTTTTTTTTCTTTTTAAGTCGGTCGTCTCCCACCGAGGCAGGGTGACCCAAAAAAGAAAGAAAATCCCCAAAAAGAAAATACTTTCATCATCATTCAACACTTTCACCACACTCACACATTATCACTGCTTTTGCAGAGGTGCTCAAAATACAACAGTTTAGAAGCATATACATATAAAGATACACAACATATCCCTCCAAACTGCCAATATCCCAAACCCCTCCTTTAAAGTGCAGGCATTGTACTTCCCATTTCCAGGACTCAAGTCCGACTATATGAAAATAACCGGTTTCCCTGAATCCCTTCACTAAATATTACCCTGCTCACACTCCAACAGATCGTCAGGTCCCAAGTATCATTCGTCTCCATTCACTCCTATCTAACACGCTCATGCATGCTTGCTGGAAGTCCAAGCCCCTCGCCCACAAAACCTCCTTTACCCCCTCTTTCCAACCCTTTCGAGGATGACCCCTACCCCTCTTTCCTTCCCCTATAGATTTATATGCTTTCCATGTCATTCTACTTTGATCCATTCTCTCTAAATGACCAAACCACCTCAACAACCCCTCTTCTGCCCTCTCACTAATGCTTTTATTAACTCCACACCTTCTCCTAATTTCCACACTCCGAATTTTCTGCATAATATTTACACCACACATTGCCCTTAGACAGGACATCTCCACTGCCTCCAACCGTCTCCTCGCTGCTGCATTTACCACCCAAGCTTCACATCCATATAAGAGTGTTGGTACTACTATACTTTCATACATTCCCTTCTTTGCCTCCATAGATAACGTTTTTTGACTCCACATATACCTCAATGCACCACTCACCTTTTTTCCCTCATATATACTTATATTTGAAAAAATAAACCTATCATTGGGATGCTACTGCAGTCATGTCTATATTTATCAAAAATACCTAAGATTCAATTCTCCTATTACACAATACCCCAATTTGCTTGCTTCCATTTATTTACCTCAAACATAATTTTTTTTTTTTTTTAATTTTGAAGCAGTTATTTTCTTATCACTTTTACCTCATTTGAGAACTCATTCTTTGAACCATATGAGTACTAAACATAGAAACAGATTTACTGATAATACGAATGGGAAGGGTGTACCACTTTCATGCATTATAGCACCTCCTTGTCAAAAGGCCAAAATGATAACTAAGTGGCTTGCTAAGAAAAATATTGAGAATGCCTGGAATATCATAAAAAAAAGACGGAATCCAGGCACATTTTACTGATATCATGCCTGCCTGGATGACTGGGTCACCAAGTCATCCATTAATTACTTCAGGAAACTGAGTGAAAGGTTGCCCAAACAGTTTCAAGTGGTCACCAAGGTCAAGGGGGAGACAGCAAGTATTAGTGTTTGTTCTACATTTACACTGTTAGCTTTTAGCAATTTCTGTAATAAAAGGGCAGTCAGGTTCATTTTTGTGGGCACTATAGATAGGGACTGACAAAAAATACTCACCGAAACACACATTGCAATAGAAACCCATGTTCTAAGTATAAATGTGGACCAACATGATAATATTTTATAGCAATTCTTGTTCAATTTTTTCAAATATGAAATTTGAAAAAATGTATATGTTCCAGACATGAATTCATTATTTAGTAGGGGAACAGTAGTGCTATATCACCCTTTTATAAAAATTCCTTCATAGTGCAATTCATTTGCACCATGACTATTCTATGGCACTCTCTTTAAAACATTAATTTCCATTATCTTTTCTTCAATTAAGGGAGAGCATTTGAGTGGATAAACAACTGCAAGCCAGTAGCTCATAGTGTCTTCTACCTTAGCATATAGTAGTCAAAAATGCAAAACCCTTAATACATTACCCTAACATACAGTAGTTGAAAAAGCAAAACCCTCAATACATCATAAAAATTCAGATTTTATAGATATGATGTATAAAGATTAAAAATTACATAAGTGTTATGCAAGCTACTGCCTTTTTGCCCTAAATTTATTTACAGTTTTGTAATATAAAATAAGTTGCTTATAAAGTGGAAAAACAGGTCCACATTTTGAGCAACTTATATTATGCTACAAAACTATAAATAAATTTAGCACAACAAGGCCATACCCTGTATAAGACAGCTGTAAATATAGTACAGGTACACACTGGCAATGATTAAATAAAAAATGAGCTAAAAACTAGTTTCCAAAATTCAGAAAACAGATGGAGCTCTCAAGGGTAACAAGAAAATACTCACAGTTAATAGCTGGTTTTCTGTCATTACTAAACCATCATACAGATTCTTAAAATCAGAATTTTCCTTGTTTATTTTCTCAGCCGGAACACTCTCAATTGCTTTATGAAACACATCGGTTACCTGAAGAAAACAGAATATTAAAGTGAAGAACTAATTTAGATTTTCTGAGAAAGAAAATGCTCTATTAAATTTTGAATACATAATGATTAAATGAAGTGGCATAAATATTGGATTTCAATTCCTATACAGCAACAATGAATGTTATTAAAAAGGGTAACTGGTTAGCCAGGCTGAGTCCTGAATGTGGGAAGTGCAGTGCCTGCACTCTGCAGGACAGGTTATTCAAACTGTGATGGCATACTTCTGGCAAAACAGCAATACCATAATTTGAACCAAAGGTGTTTTAGAAATATAAATTAGAAAGCACAAGACAAACTCCATAATACACTTCACATGCTGTACCATGCAAAGGATTTCCTTAGTGCCATTTGATCACAATGTATAGCTGTATACATACAGTAATTGTAATATCAAGCAGTTACTTCACTCTTCTGAGCATAGCCAATAACGTATCAAATATCACTGTTTTAAAGAATAAGCTTTGACTTGTGCACTAAAACCTTAAGTAACGAAACACACTAGCCAAGTAAGTCTTACTGCCTAGCAAGGCAAAAGACATTAGAAACTAATTACAATTGTCCAAAACTGATATTTGTATTCTAACAGTGAGCACTGACAGCTATGATAAATTCCTAGATTTTTTTAACTGAAGTACAGAATCTAAAAATAATTGAATTACAAAGCATAAATTTCAAAATACAGTGGACCCTCGGTTATCGGCCGTTCCTCTCATCGGCCAACTTGGTGATTGGCCGTTTTTTCGGCTCCCAATGATCGGCCGTTATTTCAGTGATCGACCCTTTCGGACGCATCCGTCCACCGGCTGGGGCCGCTTGCGCGTCAGTTTGGCTGTGTCTTTCGGTGCGTGAAGAAGCTTCTGCTCATACATCCAAACATTTCGCTTGTTTTCCATTTTTTTTTTTTGTGGGTTTTTTGTAGTGCAACTGCGAAATAAGTAACCATGGCTCCAAAGAAAGTTCCTCGTAAAGTTTCTGTGGTAAAGAGAGAAACACCATGGAATTTAAGCGTGAAGTGTAGCAGGAATGCAGAGAGTGTAGCAGGCATGCAGGGAGTGTAGCAGGCATGCAGGGAGTGTAGCAGGCATGCAGGGAGTGTAGCAGGCATGCAGGGAGTGTAGCAGGCATGAAGGGAGTGTAGCAGACATGCAGGAAGTGTAACAGGCATGCAGGAAGTGTAGTAGGCATGCAGGGTGTGTAGCAGACATGCAGGAAGTGTAACAGACATGCAGGGAGTGTAGCAGGCATGCAGGAAGTGTAACAGACATGCAGGGAGTGTAGCAGGCATGCAGAAAGTGTAGTAGGCATGCAGGGAGTGTAGTAGGCATGCAGGGAGTGTAGCAGGCATGCAGGGAGTGTAGCAGGCATGCAGGGAGTGTAGCAGGCATGCAGGGAGTGTAGCAGGCATGCAGGGAGTGTAGCAGGCATGCAGGGAGTGTAGCAGGCATGCAGGGAGTGTAGCAGGCATGAAGGGAGTGTAGCAGGCATGCAGAAAGTGTAGTAGGCATGCAGGGAGTGTAGTAGGCATGCAGGGAGTGTAGCAGGCATGCAGGGAGTGTAGCAGGCATGCAGGGAGTGTAGCAGGCATGCAGGGAGTGTAGCAGGCATATAGGAAGTGTAACAGGCATGCAAGGAGTGTAACAGGTATGCAGGAAGTGTAACAGGCATGCAAGGAGTGTAGCAGGCATATAGGAAGTGTAACAGGCATGCAAGGAGTGTAACAGGTATGCAGGGAGTGTAACAGGCATGCTGGGAGTGTAGCAGGCATGCAGGAAGTGTAACAGGCATGCAAGGAGTGTAGCAGGCATCTAGGAAGTGTAACAGGCATGCAAGGAGTGTAACAGGTATGCAGGGAGTGTAACAGGCATGCTGGGAGTGTAGCAGGCATGCAGGAAGTGTAACAGGCATGCAGGGAGTGTAGCAGGCATGCAGGGAGTGTAGCAGGCATGCAGGGAGTGTAGCAGGCATGCAGGGAGTGTAGCAGGCATGCAGGGAGTGTAACAGGCATGCAGGGAGTGTAGCAGGCATGCAGGAAGTGTAACAGGCATGCAAGGAGTGTAGCAGGCATCTAGGAAGTGTAACAGGCATGCAAGGAGTGTAACAGGTACGCAGGGAGTGTAACAGGCATGCTGGGAGTGTAGCAGGCATGCAGGAAGTGTAACAGGCATGCAAGGAGTGTAGCAGGCATCTAGGAAGTGCAACAGGCATGCAAGGAGTGTAACAGGCATGCAGGGAGTGTAACAGGCATGCAGGGAGTGTAGCAGGCATGCTGGGAGTGTAGCAGACATGCAGGAAGTGTAGCAGGCATTGCAGAAGCCAGCATTAGCTTTCAATAAATGTATGTAATACTGATTTAATTATTAAAAAAATTATTTTTGGGTGAATATTTTTGTCTGGAACGGATTAATTGAATTTACATTAATTCTTATGAGAAACGGATTACGGCCAATAACCGAGGGTCCACAGTAACAATTTAATTAATCCTAGATAGTAGATTGGTAGATAGCAACTGCCCAGGGAGGTACTACCATTCTACCAAGTGAGTGTAAGACAAAACCCTGTAATTGTTTTACATGATGGTAGGATTGCTGGTGTACTTTTTTCTGTCTCATAAACATGCAAGATTTCAGGTACGTCTTGCTACTTCTACTTACACTTAGGTCACACTACACATACATATACAAGCATATATATACACACCCCTCTGGGTTTTCTGCTATTTTCTTTCTAGTTCTTGTTCTTGTTTATTTCCTCTTATCTCCATGGGGAAGTGGAACAGAATTCTTCCTCTGTCAGCCGTGTGTGTTGTAAGAGGCGACTAAAATGCCGGGAGCAAGGGGCTAGTAACCCCTTCTCCTGTATAAATTACTAAATTTAAAAAGAGAAACTTTTGTTTTTCTTTTTGGGCCACCCTGCCTCGGTGGGATATGGCCGGTTTGTTGAAAAAAAAAAAAAATAAACATGCAAGATTTCGGGTACATCTTGCTACTTCTGCTTACACTTAGGTCACACTACACATGCATGTACAAGCATATATATACACACCCCTCTGGGTTTTCTTCTATTTTCTTACTAATTCTTGTTCTTGTTTATTTCCTATCTCCATGGGGAAGTGGAACAGAATTCTTCCTCCGTCAGCCGTGTGTGTTGTAAGAGGCGACTAAAATGCCGGGAGCAAGGGGCTAGTAACCCCCTTCTCCTATATACATTACTAAAGTTAAAAAGAGAAACTTTTGTTTTTCTTTCTGGGCCACCCTACTTCAGTGGGATATGGCCAGTTTGTTGAAAGAATTTAATTAATGAACTTATCATCTGTGAACATAAGACGAGTAATCAATGCTGAGATATCTACCTCCACACATATTCTGTAACAGTCAGTTTTCTTAAACTGGCAACAGTACCACAGCAAAATGAAAAAATGACCATAAACATATATAAATATCCAAATACGTATAATCAACATCCATCAACCGCATAAATCAATCCAAACGGAGATAAAAAAAAAATATGCGAGTATTATAGAAGATTTCCACCTCACAGTGAATCCCCCTTAACCAACTATTACCATATTAATACAATCGTTCATTCTTTCACTGAACGAATTATGATTGAGTGAATGACAATTAACAAGTTTCCCTTCTCTCTGGGTCACCCTACTTTGGGGGAACACAGTCAGTGTGTTAAAAAATTAACATTCAGTAGTGAAGAGCATTAATTACATACTTTTGTGTTCCATTTTGAGAATCTTTAGTACATAATTTTTCCTCAATTATCTCTTCAGATTGTATATTTCTGACAAATGAAGTAAGCTTATTCCAATACATTACATAAGTTTAGATTTTTACAATTGTCTTACATAGTAACATTTTCATTAATTACACAGAATTTAATTAAAATCTCTTTCACCCTTCTTGTGCCTCACCTCCAGAAGATCTTTACAGAATCCTTGAATACCAAACTGTTTAGCTTCAACAATCTGTTTCTCCAAACGATTTCTGAGATTTTCACGATCAGCTAAGGTTCGTTGATATTTGTCCTGAAAAAAAAAAAGAAATGAAGACATTACCAAGCATATTTAGTTTGAACTGAGTGAATAAAATATACACAAAATCAAAGCATTATCATCATTAACTCTTTCAGGGTCCACAGGCCCTCTCAGAGACTTGTTCTCAGGGTCCCCCAAATTTTAAAAAAAAAAAAAAAAAAAAAAACTTATGAAAAGATAGAGAATCTTTTCAGTCAGTTCCTGATCAGCCGGGCTGTGGCTCGTACATTGGTTTGCGTGCAGCCAGCAGCAACAGCCTGGTTGATCAGGCGCTGATCCACCAGGAGGCCTGGTCACAGACCGGGCCGCGGGGGCGTTGACCCCCGAAACTCTCTTCAGGTAAACTCCAGGTCATAATGACACCAAAAGTATGAAATTTGATAGAAAACTTATAGAATTATGCTCTGTCGAAGTTAGTGGTCTCGACGATGTTTACGCATTGGCAATTTTGCCCACTTTGAGCCTTATTTTCAGCCAATTCCAATGTACTAGTCGACAAAAATCATAACTATTTCGCTAGAACTCCATTTTTTCTATCGAATGAGTACAAGAAACCACCAATTTACCGATTTCAACTATCCAATACAGTGGTCAGAATTTAGCAATTTTGCCAATTTCACACAAATTTCAAAATATGCCAATTTCCAAATAGGGTCCAGAATAAACAAAAAAGACATTCCTGGCACTAAAATAACATTTCCTCTGTTTATTAGTCACGTCGCGACTCCCCTCTTACATTTTTTTGCTTTCCATTTTGAATTTTTATTCTCACAAAAAATAGATTTACTAATATGCAGACTACTGCATTAGTGTAGAAATGGTATAAATAATATTGACGTACTTGTGAAAGAATATTAGACTCACCAGTTGACGTGTCTTAGACGCTTAGCATGATTTATTTACTTTTAAACCCTGGTAAAAATCGAACATTTCTGCTACTCTGAGCTCAATTTCAAGGTACTTTTCATTGTAAAACCAGTCAAAATCATCTCAATTTCTGTAATATGTCTTCCATTCTTTACAATGAGACCAGGAAAACTAGAATACAACAATAAATACCATACGAAAATACAGTGCAAAATCGCTGTTTTAATCCAAAAACACGGTCAAAGTTTTTTTTTTCTCATTACGCACTGTGTGCTGCAGGACTTTTTTTATACTGCGCACACTGACCACATAGACCCATTCTTTCATATGTAGGCCTACCAGCTTTCTCTCACTAGATTTGAAGGTGCTAGAATTTTTGAGTACTAGTACGTCAAGGACCCTGGTGTGTAAGCCGTACTAGTATGGCCAAAACCCTGAAAGGGTTAATGAAGTAGCTACTAAATTAAACATAACTATAGGTACACGAGCAAGTTGAAGTTATGGGAGTAGAATGTACAAACTGCATAAATGAAAAAGGTATTTAAAATGGAACAAGCACAAGCATCATGTGTTGTGAGAAAATCAGTAAATACAATGAATCACAAGATAATTTGATTAGACAATGATTTCTTCTGCAATACCTAGTATGGGTTTTAATACAAGATACATTACAGTAGACCATTAAGTGTCAGACCTTCTTAAAAACCTCATCATCATAATCTTTCCAGCTTGTACTGTGGAACCTCAAAAATCGAACTGCTCCCAACACAGCCAATTATGTAAGTGTATTTTTGTAAGTGCTTTGTGGCATGCAAAGAGTGCGTAACCTTTATTCGGCGCATGGACACACCCTCATTTACAGGCTATCTCCCCCAACCAGCGAACCAGGTTGCTAAGAGTTGATGATGGGGCCCCATCGTTCAACTAGTGACCAGGTTCTAGCCAATAAGAAGGTGGGATTGACAATCGCAGAGGTTATGTGGATACCGCTCTCCTGTCTGCCCTTGTCATTCCCATTCTAGAGCTGGTTGAAGCACGGTCTGCTATCTTGTGGCTTCTATTTCTGCCTTGCTTACCGTGGAGTGCACTATATTTATCACTGTACATAGTGTACATATTGCTGTTATAAATTGGTGAAGGATAATATAAGTCTAAACTTTTTCTACTGTGTTTATTTGCTCCCATTACACCTGGGATAACAGGCCATTTGAAATCCTAGGTTGTAATATGGGGGCCTGTCCGGGAGCTGGACTTAGAGAAACGGTTTTTAGCTTAGGGTGAAGCTTGTAGCAGGAACATTGTGTAGCTTGCTGTTCGCTTGTTTCAAATTTTGGGGTTTTTTTTTTCCCGCCGCAGGGATTTAACAGTCCCGGGTTTTCCGGGGTTTGACTCAATTT